AAAAAAAACATAGATTTTACTGGCTCGTTTAAGAGTGTCATAATTTATTCCATATTTATTTCAAATGTATTAAATGTTCCGGTGAATTTAAGATTTGAGAAATAAGCTTCCTTATAAAATCCTAATGATGGTTTCTTAATTTTTCAAAGGTGCTGAGTTAAAATTTAGGGATGCTTGAGCACCCCCCAAAAGAAGCTAAAATCGCAACTGATGTTCTCCCTGAGCATCCGTGGGTTTTCTCCGGGTACTCTGACTTCTGCACGGACTAAAAACATACATGTTAGGTTAAGTAGTATCTAAAGTGTGACTGGTTGTTTGTCTCTGTGATGGACTTATGACCTGCCCAGGGTGTCCTCTGCTTCTTGCAGTGACCTGAAAGAGGGAAGGAGGTACAGTAACAAAAAAAAAAAACAGTATGAATGGATTTGGAAGTGAGAGTTTCCTGTAGCTATCTCCAAACTTTATAATCTATCTTTGCTCCCAGAGATATCAAGTCTTGTTTTTCAGAGTGAATAGGAGTTTGTATGCATCCGTCCTGTGGGGTACGTTGTTTTGTTCGTGTTTTACAGTGTGCCAGTCGTGAAAAGCCGGATCTATCAGACTGCGAAGAGAGGTGACTCATAAAGAAATGATAAAAATAGCTTCACGGATAAATAAAAAAAAGTTGCAACATCGACATTCTGTTTAAAGCTGGCAGTCAGTGTGGCCAAATCGAACTCAAGGGACTAAAAATGGGAGCAGAAAAGCGTGCGTCTCTTTTGTTTGTTCTCCAACACAAACACTTCTCTACAGGCCTCACACATTTCGGATGCTCCCATCCACAAACAGAACAAAAAACACTATGACAAATTCAGACATCGTGAGCTTATTTTCCTTTGAATCAATACAAATGTTTGTACTTTATTATTATTATTTTCTTTGATTCCTGGTCTAAATAAAAAGATTACTGCAAAAACGCTATGCAACACAAAGTGACTTACTGTAAGACTTCCTGATAGTTTCATTAAAATTATTTCAGTGGTTCATGAGATATTTTGCTAAAAGTAGGAACACTCCCACCCATACAGACACAGGCAAAGCATCATAAACCTGATTTTTATTCGAGCTAAGTGTTTTTTTTTTTTGACTGGTCGTCCACAAACTGCAGCCTCTGTGAGCAGGATAAGAAATGTAATGAGAGGAGAGATGGTACTCTGCGATTACAAGATTATGAGTTAACATCTGTGACTTGTAGAGTCAGAGGGATGAACTCGGTGAGGATGGGAAGAAATTAACAGATGAGAATGAAAATAGGGAGGAAAAAATACCAGATGTACTTCTTATATAAATAGTTGTTCCAAAGTTGTGTAACCGACCTAAAATGAAGCAAAAGCCTAGTTTAAGATGGATTCCTCCTCATTCAAATACACTTTTGTTTAGCTGACTCAATGAGAGGACAATCATTTAGCTCCAAAAGTTAGCTATGATTGATGCTGTGAGGAGGAAATCAATCTATGGTCCAGCTTAAAATGTGCACTGTAGCCATTACAGATAACCGATGCATGAAATGAAGTTTCTAAAGAAAGAGAGGGGGACAGAGGAAGTTTTTTTGGCAAATGCTAGACGAGTTCTCCATCATAGCCAAATTAAAGTCCCTAATGACAGGATGTTTTGTGGAACTTCAGGCGAGGAAGGATGTTTGAACTCTTCCCACCATTGGATTTGGCTGAGCGATGAAAACCAAGAGGCCTTTGAAAGGCTATAAAAATAGGAAGAGGATTACCGTTCAGTCGCTCTGTGGGTACAGTAATCCCTGGATACTTCGCGTTTCGACTTTCAAGGACTCACTCTTTCATGGGTTTTCAACATAAGATTGTACACGACACAGGATTGGCTGATTGATGGAAGGTGACCAACCAGAGCATTGTGTTGAGGGGCAGACTGACCATCGGGAGCACCGGGACGTTTCCCGGTGGCCTGGCCTGCTCAGTGATCGCCGAGGGGGTCTAAAGGCTCGGTGTGGGTGGCGCATGATTATTTTAAATAAACAAGCCATGCTGCTTGTGCCTCTCACTCAGGTATAAGACAGACCTGTTGTGTGTCTCTGAGCTGCTGTGACAGACAGCCTCGGAAAAAGAAAGGAGGGGGGGTTGTCTGTCTTATACCTGAATGAGCCACATGAGCAGCATGGATTGCTTACTTAAAATAATCAAGCATGACCTGAACCAAGCCTTTAGTCTCCCTCAGTGATCAATGAGCAAACCAGGCCACCGGGAATCGTTCCGGTGCTCCCAATGGCCAGTCCACCGGGCTGGAGTGGCTCAGTAACCGTAGCATCAGTCTATCTTCTCTCTTTTGCTGTGCTCCTATAGTGAATTTAGAGAGTTTAGAACATTGTTAAGAACAGTGTAAGATAGTGGGAAGGGTTTATAAAGCCTTAAAATATATATAAATACTAAAATAAATATAACGTCCTTACTTCGTGGATTTTCACTTATTGTGGGGGTGTCTGGAACATAACCCCTGTGCTAAGTGAGGAACTACTGTATTTAATTTCTAAATTACAAAAGTTAAATGCTAACATCTTAAAACAGCTCCACTCCATTGTTGACTGGGTATGCATGTTTATGTGAAATTACATACAGCATAAATTTATGCTCATAGTAAAATGCATAATCGGTCGACAGCTCAAAACATTTAGGTTCTACAACAAAAGCAGTAAAATGGTGACTTAACCAAGTTCTACAAGTACAGTACTTGTTTTGCAAGGGTGGCAGTGCAAAAGATTTGATAGTGTTCTATAAAAAAATTGGGAACATTGTAAATCCTTTTGCATACCAGCCAATAACAGTTTTATCTGGTCATATTTATTTGAAAGTGAGTTCCTGAGTTAACTATTTTGTTATCTGCGGACAGCTGAATTACATTGTCTGAACCCCCCCAAATGGTCTCACATTAATATTTTGTGGACCGCCTTTAGTTTTGATGACAGCATACATTCACTGTGGCATCGTTTCCACAAACTTCTGCAATGTCACATTATTGTCTGTCCAGAGGTGCATTAATTTTTTGCAAAGATCTTGTATCGATGAAGGAAGATTCAGATCATGGAGCAAAGTCTTCTCCAGCACGTCCCAAAAACTCTCAGTAGAGCTAAAGTCTGGACTCTGTGGTGGCCAATCCATGTGTGTAAATGAAGTCTCACACTCCCTGAACCACTCTTTCAAAATGTGAGCTGATGGATCCTGGCATTGACATCTTGGAACATGTTCGTGCCATCAGGGAAGAAAAAGTCCATTAATGGAACAACCTGGTCATTCGGTATATTCAGGTAGTCAGCTGACCTCATTCTTGGAGCACATGCTGTTGCTGAAAGACCAGATCATAGACTGCACCCACAGGCTTGTACAGTTGGCACTAAGCATGATGGGTGCATCACTTCAGTCGTCTCTCTTCTGACCTGGATGCTCACTCCTCACTGTCCTTCCTGTTTTAAATAATGCGTAACCTGATTTTAGTAGTTTTATCAATCTCCTCAGATGTTTTCTCTGCTTGATGCGTAACAATAATTTGACCATTCTGATACGAATGATCATCTTTTCCACGACCAGTGGATGTGTCGGTCCACATGGTTGTTTAACAAATGAGAAGCTACTCGCTGCATCATTTAGGCTTAAATAACTGTTACCAGCTGAAACCTCATTGCCAATACAGTAATTAATGCTTTGTTAAATCTAGGTGACCTTTATTCTTTTTTTATTGTTGTTGTTGTGGCCAGAATAGTTCAATCTCACTGTCTTGAGAAAACAAGTTTTATTGGGGGGGGGGGGGGGGGGGGGGATTTTTTCTTTTAAAACAATACAATTAAGATGCAAAAATTGTTCATTTTAGGTTACACCCTGACCCCGTTTAGATGTGAACGATCTCCTGGAAATGTTGTAAATTTTCCGATATTAACAGTAAAAATATAACACGTTCACACGGTAATGCTGTGACAAAAATCACTGTTTAAATGAGGCAGCAAATGATAAATCTGTTGTAGTTTCCATGCCAGGTCACTGGCTGTGACTTTTGTATTTCAACAACATGCACATAAACCCAGACACTTCAGTCTCAAGGATAAAAACAGTTAGATCCAAAACGATGTGTTTGTGCACGTTTGTTTAGACTGATAATCAGGCTGATGAGATGGTGTAGCTCACACATGTTCTGTGGTAACAGCTCTGATCATTTGAAAAAGGTGAGCAGCACAAACAGCACTCTCCTATTGTTACTTTTGTTCATCTACTCACACAAACATAAAAACAAAACCTAATGACTGCAGCCGGTTGAATGACATGTACAGTTTAACTCAGATGCAGAGTGTTTTAAAACTCTTGGGGTTCAAAACATTTCTGTGTCAGAGAAAACTATCGCTGTTATTGTATAGACAACTGAAACACAACAGATTACGGTTTCCCTTAAAAATAAGGTTGTATAACCAGGAGTCCAGTTTAATCCTTTACCATCACTATCACAACACTTAGAGTTAATCTGTAACAGTAACGAGTTAACCTGATCTCTGACAAAGAAACACCCCTTTAGTTTAAATGGGATTTCACAATTTACAGTTATTTAGAGAAATCAAGCTTTTCAATGCCTAAACTATTAAATAAATTAACTTGTTATGTCAAGATAACCCCAAAACGATTTTTAATCACATCCTTTCCTGTCTTTTGTCCTTTATTTTTAACCTAAAGTACAAGTTTTGTTCATTAAATCTCTGACTCGATTCAAGTCAGTGAGCATTAGCCTCTAAAACCAAAGGGAGAGGTAAAGCAGTACAAAATTGCTTGAGATGGGTCAGTTTTATTGATTGTCTTAATGAAATGGTCAATAATAATTTCAAAGCTGAATGAATTTAGTGTGCTGTATAATAATTACAAGAAGACTTGGCTAGAATGTTTATTTAGCATACATTTAAAGCTTGCACCAACTTCTTTACCGGCAGCAGTTTGTTACGTTTGTGTGTTTGCTTCTAGATCACCAACATGGAAGATGATCCCAACTGGTACACAGCTGAGCTCCACAACCGAAAGGGCTTTGTGCCAAAAAACTACATCAACCTGCGGCCGCATGCGTAAGACTACACACACACATGCAAAGAGACAGCGCTGAGGTTAATCTGTACGTTTCACACATCCAGCACTGATCTACCTAACAGCTCATCAGTGAGGAAACGTGTGCAGCCGGCAGCTCCAGGCGCTTTCCGCTCTGCTTTGGACATCTGCTGCACTCCGGTATCCAGCAGAACTCCCAAAGGGGCGCTCTTACGCCTCACCTTACATAACCACGCAGTCCAGACGTGCGTTTTTACTGTAGATCTGCTGGTACACCGTGTTTTCCCCCAGCAGATAGCTAGGCTTGGCTGTGACATCAGCTTCGGGTCGTTAACGAACACTGATGTTCCGTCCAGTTGGAGTTGGCTTGTTGGGTTTGTAGCACAGCCTCTGGAACAATTTGTGCGAGTCTGTGTTTAACAGTTTTACACGTCCCTTTGCAAAGCCTTGAAATACAGCTCCACTTCTAATAACAAAGTTGAGTAAAATGTAAAAGGTAATTTTGAATTTGATGGCAGTGAGATGTCTCAACAAAGTTGTGACAGTTGCCATGTTTGCTACCAGACCAGCTGCTGGAGATTTTGGAGGGAAATGATGCCCCATATAGGATGTGCTCAACTCGAACTCTTCTAATGCGCAGTCATGCTGTGGTAATGGAGGAAGTTTTTCATTGTCTTGCTGAAACATGACAGACGTTGCAAGAAAAAGATGTCTGGATGGGATTGTTCTAAAATCTGAACATACCTTTTTACATTCTGTAACATTAATGCACCCCTATACCAACAGAGATGCAGGCTGTGGACTGAAAACAGGCTAGATGACTCTACCGTCTAATTTCAATTTGTCTGTCCACAGAACAGTTTTCCACTTTGAGCTTTGACTCGGATCAATCAGCATCGTTTCTGTTTTGTGTTCACACGTGGCTTTGTCTTTGCATGATAGAGCTTTAACCAGCATTTGTGGGTGATACTGTTCACAGACAATAAGTTGTGGAAGTGACCCTGACCCAGTGATAACAGAATTGGACTTGCTTTTAATGCAGTGTCTCATGAGGGTCTGAAGATCACAAACATCTAAATATGGACTTTAAGCCTCGTCTTTTCAGTTCAGAGATTTCACCAGATTCTTGAAAAATTTAATAGTTTTAATATAAAAGTATATGATGGTATATTCATCCATCCATCCATTATATTTTACCCGCTTCTTCCTTTTTGGGTCACGGGGGTCACTGGTGCCCATATCCAGCAGTAACTGTGCAAGAGGTGGGGGACACCCATGACAGGTATCAAGTCCATCACAGAGAGACAGAGAGACATAGAGACAAACGAGACAAACAACCAAAGTTCATGCTAATTAATCCAGGTACGAATCCAACAATGTTCAGTCAGGTCATCTGGACGGTTTGTTTTGTTGCTGAGACGTTTCGTCCTTTATCCAAAGGAATTCTTCAGTGTGAGGAGCCCACCAAACCCAACTGAATTCCACAAACAGCTCAATCCCAGGACTTCTCAGACTGAAGAAGTCCTTCGAATGAAGGACAAAACATCTCAGCAACTAAACAAACCGTCCAGATGACCTGACTGAACATTGTTGAGACAAACCATTCACTCTCTCACTCACACTTAGGGACAATTTAGAGTTACCAATCAGCCTAACATGCATGTTTTTGGTCTGTGGGAGGAAACTGGAGTACCTGGACAAAACCCACCCCTGCATGGAGAGAACATGCAAACTCCACCCAGAAAAGTCCTCCAGCCGTGATTCGGTCTTGTGACCTTCTTGCTGAAAGGCGGCAGCTCTACCAACTGTGCCACCGTGACGCTATGATATATTTGAAGACTTTCAAGTATTCCATTAAGAAACATTATTCTGAAATTGTTTCACTATTTTTAGACCCGTTTATTCACAGACTGGTGAACCTCTGCCCGTCTTTACCTCTAAGAGATTAATTCTCTCTAAAATGCTTCTTTTTATCCAGTCCTCTGACTGACCAGTAGCCATTTCACATAATTTGTTGCAAATTGCTCCTCCAGCTGATTCTTAGAGCTTTTTGTTGCTAAAGTACT